CTTAACTTACAGACACAAACCAAAGTTGCCATTGAAAGCATTAAGCTATTAAGGAACAAGACACACAGTGGGGAGACGCTTCGCCTCTGAAGCTCACACCAACTTGGCTCAAGATCTCCGCTAGTGCTYGGGTGTGGTGGAGGGAGGAGCGAGCGTGTGGTAGGAGACAGCCGTGTTTCACAAGGACTGAAGCACTGAAGACTGCTTGGCAGGGAGGTATTTTCACGATGGATGGAGGAGGGGAGAACAGCCAGGTGCCTCCCACGGGGCACTAGGCTGCCTTGCAGAGGGCCACCGCAGAGAAGCGTACTTCTCCCCACTCACGCTCGGTGAACTCTCTGCAGACCTTGGCAGCGTCCTGAAGCAGGGAGCCCTCAGAGCTGGTACCATGGTTCACTGGAAACGGCATTCGCCCATCAAGTTCATAGAGGTGGCCATCCACGTTGTTGAACAGAATAAAATGAAAATTCACTTTGTCATCTACCCGACATTGGCCTTCCTGTGCCACAGCATCATGGGCTGCCTGAATGGCCTCATTCTTTTCAAAGCATTTTGCTCTGTCTTCAGGGGACATCTTTTCCGTTTCAGAAAGAAACTGTTTCAGGACTGATCCATCCTCAAATTCCAGCTTGTCTTGATTATTAGCCACTGCATGTATCAGTCCAGTTGTACCACAGGAGTTCCCKATGGTCTGCTTCATGAAGTACACTTTAGGGCTAACTTCTTGCCCCTTCAATTCTTCAATCTGTTTTTTCCTGAAGTTCTCATGCTGGGCAGTGAGGGGAAACAGCAGCAGCGCGCAGGCAGGTGCTGCCTTTCTCTTCTTCTTTTCATTAGTATGGCTAAGGGTCTGTCAAATTTATTTATTTTTTTCAAAGAACCAATTTTTAGTTTTGTCAGTTTTTTCAATTGTTTCAATTTCATTGATTTCAGCTCTGATTTTAATTATTTCTTGACTTCTACTACTTTTGCTGTTGTTTTGCTCTTCTTTTTCTAGGGTTTTGAGATGAATTGTGAGATCATTTATTTGTTGTTTTTTTCTTTTTTTAAGGAATGAACTCCAAGCAATTAATTTTCCCCTTAGAACTGTTTTTATTGTGTCCCATAGATTCCGATATGTTGTGTCTGTGTTTTCATTTATCTCTAAGAATTTTTTAATTTCCTCCTTGATGTCTTCTGTAATGCTTTGATCACTCAGTAACCTATTGTTCATTCTACAAGTGATGCAGGATTTTTCCTTCCTTCTTTTATCTTTGATTTCCAGTTTCATTCCATTATGATCAGATAATATGCATGGTAGTATCTCYACTCCTTCATAATTTCTAAGAGTTGCCCTGTGACATAATATATGATCTATTTTTGAGAAGGATCCATGTGCTGCTGAGAAAAAAGTGTAGCTGCTTGATGTTGGGTGGTATATTCTATATATGTCAATTAAGTCTAGGTTATTAATTGTGTTATTGAGTTCTATAGTTTC